AGAGAGTGAACGATGCAAGGAGAAAATAAAGACCGACGGGACAAGACAAGCTCGCTTCTGCAGCAGTTCAACAGCTGTTGTGTCTGAAGCGAGCACCGAGCTCCTAATTTATGGTTCAAAGACTCTGGTGTCACGCAGCAGAGGAAAATGAGCTGCTGATAGGAGCCTGGCTCAAATAAAAATCTCGTTCCATCAAAGTTATTACGGCATGATACAATTCAATTTAATAAAGCAGTCTAGTGTGCTCCTCTCTTAAGTACAGGTGACCTGTGTGAAGTCTAGGCATTCCTAAATGTCAAATTAACTCCCAGAGCGCTGAGATGAGTCTGCTGATTCACAGCTCGGTAGAAATACAGAAAAGAAGTTACACAAATGCACATTTCTAAATGTGCGGTGTGGATTAATAGAGGCTGTGGGTGTAAGTAAACAATGCTGACGTTTATGTAAGAGATTACAGTTTTAGCCACGATTGTGCAGCTCTTGTAAAGAAATGTCACTGCAAATGTGTAAAATCTGGTATAAGCTGAAGAAACAGTCACGGAAATGGTATTAATAGGTTATATTGTAATCTAGACACCTACAGACTTCCATGAGATGGAAAAACAATGGGACAGTCCAACAAGCAGTGACCAGCTTACAGTAAAAACCGAAACCGCAGGAAAACAGCAAATGAAAAGCTGTGAGACCCTACGTCTTCTTCTTAATCCTTATAAAAAAAAACCAAAACTGGCACTCACCAGAGCCACCCCTCAGCATCCTTGTAGATGCACCTGTGGTATAAAGGTCAAAATCCTAGGTGTTTTTCAGAAAAGTTGACCTCTGACCTTGAGGTCAAGGTCACCAAGATTCAATTTGAAAATCCTAAGTGACCACATTTTTAAGTTATGGCATTCACAAGATTGCCTCGACCTCTGACCTCTCATGTAAAGCACAAACTGTGGATAAAAGATGGCCAGTGAGGTGAATTCTTTCTAACGGCCAGCAGGGGGTGGCTACTCTGGTTTCAAAAAGTATGTCCAAATGCATAGAAGTGTGTGAAAAATATAATCTTAGGAAACATTTCTTTTTCGTTGAGGGTCTTTTTTGTTTTTTTCATTAAAGTATAATGTTTATTTTGTAAATTGTAGTCCCATTTAAACTGAAAATGGATAGGAAAAAAGAGACACTTTTAGGCTGTGTCTACTTTGATTGACAAAGTGCTACCACATGAGCGTGCAATGGTAAATGGATTGGTGCTCAAATAGGACTTTTTAAAGTTGTACTACAGACACTTTCATCCAGCCCTTTATCAGCGCCTTTCTACTCACTTCAGCACTCAAATTGCCTTCCACTACAAGTCCCATTCACCCATTCATACATGCATTCATACTTTTATCGACTTCGAAGTGCTTTCTTACCTTCACACACACACACAAACACTCTCACACTCTGATGGATGCTTCAAGGGCAACTTGAGGTTCGGTATCTTGCCCAAGGGTACTCCAGCACGCGGACTGGAGGAGTCAATGATCAATCCACTGACCTTCTAATTAGTAGCCAACCCGCTCTACCTGCTGAGCCTCAGCCGGCAGTCAGACACCTAACCAGTGATGTTTGACTCAAAGACAAAAAGATGGCAGTTGCCAGCTTGGTACGGATTTCTTTGACTTACATGTCTCTGCTACGTTTTTTTAATGCTTTCTAACGATGGCGACATGATCAGTTTGAGGAATGCGTTCTGAAAAATAGTAACAATCACGTCTTTTTTTTCCTAGCCTTTATTGATAGGATAGTCAGGAGAACAGTAACGCAGGGGCCGAGTGGGAGAACGACACAGATAATGACCCGAACCCAGGCCTCTGCAACAGCCTTTCCACTTACAGGTCGCCTTCTCGAGTAAGCGAGCCACACCAGTTCACCCAAAACACCGTTTGAATGAGGTGACTGCCGGCTACGATCAGTCCGCTGCCAGCTAAATGCCACTCAGTTATAATGCGACTCGCCAGGAGTGGCAGCCTATCCAGAGTTCTACTTGAACTAGCAGGCAGATTAGTCTGTAGTGGAGAATCTCAACTTGAAACAAAAAATGATTCAGTGTAAGAAAAAGAAACTTAATTAAGGCCGATAAGGCATTCAGCTGATGATCTCACGTCAGCGGACTGTGACACCTCTGACTTTGATAAAGGTTACAGCCAACAGGAAGCTACGAAGAGGTCACATTTAATCCTGCCTTTGGATCTGTTCTCATACCAGGGTTTCCCATAAAAAAAATCTTTTGTATTAGCATTCTCCTGCGCTTTTGTAAAGGCCAGGGGGTTGTGATACATTCCTATTCAAATTAGCTAAGACAATACCCCAGATAGCTTACCGTACCCTGGATTCCAAGAGGCTGCCTTCTGAATAAAGGAAGCATTTTTCCGTCTCCCTCCCTCTCTCCCTCTCCCCCTTGCTGTCTTTCTTTTCCCCTGTGCGGTTGTGTAAAAGAGCTTACGACGGGCTTTAGGGAATTTCTTTGATGCCATAGGAGTTGTTGGACCCCGAAGGCTATACCTTCAAAGCTGGTTTAAATAACACGCTAATCGGCAGAAATCTGTTCACAAGATTATCATGCAGAGAGCGGAGCGCGCGCTCTCTCGCAGACAAAAGCTCGAGACGGGCACACGCAGCGTGACGCGTAAACACAAACACAGACACAATGACTGCAGAAATATCCTTCTTTGAAAGCGCACAGAATAGATCTCATTATCAGCTTGAGCCTAAAATTATAGCAAGGCTTTTTAAAAAGGGTTCGAGATTCGCTTTAAAGCGAGAGAACCAGCTCGGCCTGACGCTGAAAGGACGTCTCCAGGTGTCTTAAGTGCAGTGCACCTGCTCACACACACTCTTAATGTCACATGCAAGGCAAAGTGAGGGATAAGCAATTAGCTGCTGTAGTGATTACAAATGTTTGGAAGGGCCCCCTTGTCCTCATTTAACTACCCTGCATGGCATGAGGGATTGCAGGAGGCGACTGGCTGGGTAAAAAGAAAAAAAAAAAGCCCAGCAAACAGAGAGATAAGGCCCAGTAAACATGTCACCAGCACATAATTAACCAGACTACCACAGTGTGCTATAAAATCTCACTCGAGTTTTGCAGGCATCGTTTCATCCCCCCTTCTCCAAACGAGCCCAGAATCTCCTTAATACCCAGATGAATTGTGTGCCAGATACAATAAAACCCATTTTATTAATTCTCCTTACGCTCGCCTCCTTTTAAGCCAGCAGACCTATATTTTTAGGTTGCCATGGCAGCAGGAACTTTGGGGGGGGGGGGGTTGGATAAAAATCCTGTCTTCAGAGAATAGGGCGATACATCATGGCATTATTTTTGCCCCGCTAGCTCCAATTATTTAAGTTTTACACGGTTCTCGATGTAAGCTGCAAAAAAAAGAAAGTCCCAGCGACGGATGCATCCAGTTTGGAATTACCCCACCAGAGACAACCGTAATGACACAACTTCTATTATCTGAGCTCGCTTGGTATTTATACACTGAATAATGAGCACCGATCCCTGATCTGCAGCACCAGTGGTTAATTCCTGCTAATAACTGACACGAATATAAACACAATCATTAGAGATAATTGTCAGTTTACAGCCGGCTGCCATCAGCTATAAGCAGCCCTGCCAGATTTCACCTCCTGCAAGACAGAGAGCATTACTCCAGTGACCTTCACACTTGATCCAACACCTCAAAAGCTCCGCTGTCAGCGCGAGGGGATCAATAGCTGCGTGGTGAACTTCGTGTGCCTGTGCAACAAGCAAGATCGGCCAAGGATCTTTAGGCACGTGAGAGAAAAATACTGGGAAAAACAAACGATAGCAAATAAAAATGCAACGACAGAAACGAACGCTCGGCTCTTTAAACTCATCTTATGATTGTCTGTCATAATTGGAAAATGCAGTGTCTTCCAGATGAGCTAATAATCTGTTTCCCAGCAGCTTGAGAACATAATTCTACCCAAGCTGGTTCACTCAAACAAAGACCGCCAAATTAAATGTAATGTGCTCGCTGGCATTCAATTTCACATCCATCCACTCATCCATATATCCATCCACTAATTCATCCATCTATCATCCATCCATCACTAATTCATCCATCTATCATCCATCCATCTATCATCATCATCCATCCATCTATCATCCACTAATTCATCCATCTATCATCCATCCATCAATAATTCATCCATCCAACCATCCAATCTCATGTATCAATCTACAATTCATACCATGCTATCATCATTCCATCCACTAATTAATCCATTATATGCCACTATCATCCTCCATCATTCCTCCATTTATATCCCATCCATCATCTATCATCATAATTCATCATACATCCATCTTCATATTCATAGCATCCTTATTCACATCATCCATCATCTATATCACTAATTCATCCTCTATATCCTACATCACTATTCATTCATCAGTACAATCATGCATCATCTATATCCACGTATTCATCGATTCTATATCCATCATCTATATCTCTCATCCATTCATTATATATAATTATCCATCATATCTCATAACTAATTATCATTATATCCATCAACATGATTAATTCATTCATCCACATCCAACATCTATTATGCATATTCCATCTACTAATTCGATGCATACAACATCCCATTATCATCATATCCATCATCCTAATAAGCATCCACCTGTAATTATTTAATCTATCCATAATCAGAATACTATCATCCATCAAATCTCATAAGCATGTCAGATCTATCCCATCATATCATTCATCATCCATATATCCTCTATCAATCTATCACTCACTCATATGATGGTATTCATGTCATCGATGTAATCATCATCACTAATACAGCATCCACCACTAGCTGTCTCATTTATCATCAATCAATCCAACCATCTATCATCCATCACATTCCATCTACATATCCAAATCCATCCACCCATCTATCATCAACTCATCCATCCATCCACTAATACAGCCATCCACCCACTAATTCATCCATCCACCCTAAAAACTGAAAGCAAAGAGAAATCCATCCATGAGGTTTTCCCTCATTCAAACATTTAGATAACTTCAAATCATTAATGTGTATTTTTAACTTGGTAAACAACCGTTTTTGTTTAATGACTACAGCCACTATATTAAACACATTACCACACATACTATATTGCTTAATGATCATTAGAAAAGGAGGCAATAAAATAGTAAATGTTTCATTTACCATATACCGTATACTTTCAAAGGAATGCATTAGTCAGTGTGTTGTAAACTGGCACTCTCTTTCTTACAAATCATCTGATTTTGCATACATGTACGTGTTTTATTTTGCTTTTTTTTTTTACATGACAACATGCAAACTGCAAGCGTGGCTGTGCATACTTACGGATGTTGTCGGTGTTCTCTTGCACGATGTCCGTCTTGAGCAGGTTATCAGCCAGGACGAAGGCCCCCTGCTCGACCGTGTCCAGCAGCATGGTGGCGGCCCTCAGCTGCTCGCCTGTGCTCAGCTCCCTCCAAGCCGCCTGGGCCTGCAGCTGTAGCAAATTGTTGACGGTCTCCACCATGGCCTAGGGAGTTCAAATCATTGATTTAGTGAGCGGAAGCTAAGCTGGCCTGGGACTGCGGCAGCTTGACGTGGCGATGTGGTAAATGGTTTGAGTGAAGGAAGATCAAAGGGAGCTCAGCACTGAGAAACAAATCGCACAATCCTGTGGGACTGTGCGAGGAAGAAGCGTGGAGAGTTTCTTTTTTCACCCCTTTCTCTTTTTCATTTTAGCTTAAATTTCATAATAATTTTTATATTGAGCAATTTCACGAGTCTATTTCCCATTCACTTAAAAGACATGGATCATCGACCTGCAGCAGCGACACCTGAATCTGTAATGACAATGGATGTTGCTCTCTTGTGTTTTTGCTGCTGTTTGCTTTTATCTACAGGGAGAAAAAAAATAATCATGTAAATGAATCAGAGTCAGTGCTCACAAGTCCAGAGACCAATTCTTACATGACTTGAGGCAACGGTCTTTAATTGGTGTGATAAATGTTCTTCCATGCAGACAATCCCAATGCACAAACGCACTACAAAATAAATGGATAAATAAATTTTATAAAAATTAATAATTATAACACAACAATTTTCAAGGGATGTAAAAGATCTTTGCTAGCAGCAGCAGCTATCTGCAGCCATTCGAATCGGATCTTCTCTGCATATTAATGCCGTCGAAGGACTAATATGCCATCTTTAATCTCCCCGCAACAATGCCGGAGTGGGTAAGCAAGGAGGAAACAAGAACATCCTCCAGACAAGATGAAAAATTAAGAGCCATTAAAGATTTAAAAATGCCAATGGCGAGATTTAGGAATGGAATACTAATTGGTCAAGCAAGGAAAATCATTCCTGGTACCAGTGCTCCGAAAGAGCTAAAAGAGCCTGACCGCCGCTGGGACAAAAAAAAGAAGCTGTTTCTAAGCCATTACAGTGCAGTAGGTGGCTAATAATGCTAGTAATAGTCGCTTTTCCGGGCTTCATCATGAAAATCACAGATTTAATTCAGTTTTTTAAAAAAAAGGGTCAAAATTGGATTCCCTCTTTTCGCTTCTTTAAAAGCAATTGTGACATCCCGAAAGTGGAAGTGAAGGTGCACGTGAACGTTAGTAATGCCACACCACAGAACGCCCTCTCTTTTTTGATCAATGGATTTATGAAGGGGAATAAGAGCTTTAGTACGACTCCACAACAGCATGGGGATAAAGCTAAAGGCGATAAGAGGAGCCATGTGCTCGAGTGTATTAAAAGCATTCCTCATAAAAATAAAAAAAAAGGCAGGGGTGGGGGTTACAGTCACGTGGAATAAATCTAATAGCTCCCCCAGCCTCGGATACTTTATAATTTTAACTTTATGTTTGTCTCCAGCCACCGTGATAGCAAGAGGAGTCAGAGCACTGATTGGGAATTTCAAATAGCACCAGCTGGCTGTTCCCCATTCAAAACATACCCTGTACACATTAATCCGCCCACACACAGTCACAGACACACACAGCACTCAGAGGCTGACGCAAGAGAGAGCACACACCTCTGCACCTGTTAGTATACAGGAACATACACAAAGTCAGTGGCAGGCACATACGCCGACTGCAAGCCGTGCCGGGTAATACAGCCACACACACACACACACGCACACACGCACAAGCAGTGCACCAACTTTGATGTAATTATTCATTATCTGCAGCCAATCTCCAATCACACCTTCTGACATTCAGCTAGAGGCAAAGGTTGATTCACTCTCAATTAAGGAGCTCTCTTTCTTCAGGCACTGACATTTTTTTCCCCTTCTTTGTTCCCTCCTGCAAGATTTGCTTTCAGCACTTCTTAAAACACTGAAATAATGGTTCTTCGGGGGGGAACGATTGATGGACTCGCAGACGAGGTCGTCTCGCTTTTTTTCTTCCACATGCACAATAGATGCAAAAGGAGAACAAGGTGGCAGACCAGTCCAATCCTGGGGCTGGAGGGCTGGGTCAGAAAACGTGACGTCCGAAATTAATATTGGAATAAAGGATCAGCTCTCACACTGGTCCTTCAGGCATTTTATTTTTTTATTAGATCAGCTAAAAGAAAAGCAATAAAGCTGACATTGATGCACGCCGCGTCATTTGGATGCAACAGATTAACCAAACCACTGTGACACAAATTACTCATTACTGTTATTAATATGTAAAGAGCATGCAAATCTTTACCTCATTTAAACCAGAGAATGAGATTATGACACAAACACTATAGGATATTGTCACTGTGTTGGACTGACAGTATATGCTAGACCTGATAAGACCTGAAATTGAGCATGCGGTTCCAATATGCCATTACATTGTAATGCAAAAATGTATTCTTCAGTGTTTATAATAACCGGCAGCCGGGCTGGTTTATGATGAAGAAGCTACAGACAAATTGTGTTGGAAGGAAAATCCAAGGCAAACTTTATCCTTCTGCACCGAAACTCCCATTATCATAATACTTTTTGTGCTCATTTCAGGCCTGTGTTTTGTAAAATAATATGCAACAATTTTGACGGCTAAAATAATTTCAGATAAAGGTCACAGCGAAGGAAAAATAGCTTCCGTGCCAATACACTGTGTCACCCCGTGTTCATCTGTTCGTACACTGCAGCAATGAATGAGCCCTTACTTTTAGGGCCGTAAACAATCTGCAATTTAAAGGCTGAACGTGTTGCCGAAATGTCAGATATTTAGTCAAGCAGTATATGGATATACTTTTATTAGATTTCTTGTAGGTAAAGTCATGTGATTGTATGCACTCCTGTGAAAAAATAAGTACATCCTTGTAACCAAGTGCTGCTAACCAAATGTACTTAATTAGCAGATCGTCTGGTTTGGAGCATTCAGCTGTGTATTAACACAATGCCACAATCTTCCCAGGAGTGGACATCTCAGCAAATGCACTCCAGGGTGCAATGCAAGGCTAAGGGAAACTCTAGAAAACCCCAAGAGCAACATGTCAGACTCTACAGGGCTCAGTTAGCATGTTAAAAGTTCAAGTTCATGGCAGCCGAGTTTGGTTGGGAGGGTTTAAACAACATGGCAGCATGGCTTAGCTTTGCAAAGCTGCGTCTGAACAAACAAAAACACTTCTGTAACTTTGAGCAGATGAGACCCTATTGTAGGTGTTTGACCATAATGTAGAGCAGCGGTCCCCAACCTTTTTTGCACCACGGACCGGTTTATGTCCGACAATATTTTCACGGACCGGCCTTTAAGGTGTTGCGGATAAATACAACAAAATTAAACCAGTACCTGTAACAAAAAAAGAAGATTGATTCATAACAGGGACAAGACTCAGGGAAACCGAGTTAACGATAAAAATGATTTTAAAAAAATAACGCTAAAAACCGATAAAACCCCTGAAAACCATGAATTTCAAACCGAGCCTCAATTCTTCCGGCCCGTTACCAAACGACTCACGATAGCGGTCCGCGGCCTGGGGGGGTTGGGGACTGCTGATGTAGAGCACCACGTTTGAGAACACTAAACATGGCGTATCAGCACAAACGCCTAAATCATCCTGAATCATAGTGGTGGTGGAAGGATGACGACTTGTGCTTGTTCAATGGGCTCAGGGTCTGGGCACCTTGAGCGATGGTGACCTCCTCTGTGTATCAAAGTATTCTAGATTCAAATATGAGACCATATGAGGCTAAAACAAAAGGACAAAAGGACAATGATCCCAAATACAGCAACAAATCTACAACAGAACCACTGAAAACAAAGAGAATCAAGATGCCACAATGGCCTAAAGTCCAACCTTCAACCCGAGTACATTAAGGAAATATTGCACATGTTTAAATAATAGACTTTAGAGATGCTGGCAGCAAATCTGGCTTCCCTTTGGAGAAATCCAGGGTAGTCATGATTTCCTGTTTCCATATTTGTGAGAAGTTTGGGTAAATGGTTACTTTGGTTAGCTTCAAATTTCCAGTATAGGCAGGAAAAGGACACCAAGCTCTTAACCTAATATTCCAAACTGTTTATGTCTAATGTTCAACTGTTTTTCAATGGACGCTATTTTGTGAGGCAATCCATTGTGAATACTCAGTGGTGACACCGTGTTCTTTATTTACGAAAGCTAGCGGCATCTTTACCCGTCTTCCCATTAGATCAGGCTGTCACATTTTACTTTTTCTCCAAGATCTTTCACCCAAAGGCAAATCTCTAGTCTGCAATATGTTGCCATGGATTTATCAAAAAGCAAAGTTTCTTGGCACAGGCAGTAGGTTAAAGAGGTTTGCTTTGAAACATGAATGAATAAAAATAATAACATTAATTAAATAAAGTAAAAGTGAAAAAATGCAGTTAAAGGGAAATACTAACAGTCATTAAGTCAACTTTCCCTTTTCCAGTGAAGACCCTGGCCATTTGCTCACGTCGAAAGTTGTCATTTTGCAGTCCACAGCTCTTATGTTTGAACTCTTAAATTAAATCCACCCACATGTTAAACCATTGTTGAACCCCAGAATTAATGGAAAAGACAACAAACCAAAGAAAAAATGATCAAAGCTCTTTCACTGGACCTAAAAGGTTAATGGCTGTGTTTAGCACAAATAAACACATCCAGAAAATCTTTTTATTAAACTGATGGACCTGAGGAACACGCTAGCCCTGCCTACATCGTCAGGCTACTAAACAGCTAAAATACCCAACAATTCCCAGGAGCTAACAAGTCCAAAGGCATGCTTGTTAGATTAATTGGTGATATCCGTATCCATCCATCCATGCAGCCATACAACAGGCAAGTATGGCTGCCAGTGAAAGTGGGCCTCTAGTGTTTATTGATCATGTGACTGCTGATAGAAGCAGCAGGATGAATTGTGAAGTTCTGAGAGCTATACTCTCTGCTTACATTCCCCCAAATGCTGCAAAAATTATAAGCAGCACTTCACAGGGCAACTAGATAATGGCCAAAAGCACACTGCAAAAGCAACCCAAGAGTTTCTAAATGTAATGAAATAGCATATTTGAATAGACAAGTTGTTCACCTGATCCCAACCCAACAAAT